GAGGGAAAATATTAAGAGAAAATGTGATATGACAATTCAACGAGTTTACTCATTTTCTCTTTATTATAATTAATTATATTGGGGTTTTCTTTCTTTCTTTTATGAAATCCTATGGAATTTACGCAGAAACGTTCTCTCATTCATTTTACTTACACTTGTATAAATGAAAGGGGAATATACAGCAACAGAATGATATGAATAAATATTTCAAAATTTAGATTTAGAAATAGATAAAGATTGAATGCCTTCAATTAGATCCGTCATGTTATTTATTTATTAGGATAGCGCTATGGTCATGTTTTTAGAATTTAACACTGCGCCACGGATGGCTGCATTATTGTTTATAAGATGCACGAGCCCACCGCAAGGTAAATATTTATTCGTTTCTTTAGTAATCAATGCTGCGAACCCAGAATAGTTTTTTTTTTTTTCGTAATTGAATATGACTATAGAGGAGCTTTTAATCTTTAATTTACTTTGTCTCTTTATAAATAATAAATATCTTTCTATTTCTCTATACAAATCCTCCGGTAGAACGTGTTTTAGCTGCAAAATATATTATACCACCAACTCGAGCTTCAATGTCTGAGCGCATGCAGGCCGACAGCTCAGTCTATACTATCCCATTCGGAGCCTTATTAATAATTTTCGCTTTATTTGACTACCTAAATTTAAAATTAATTAAATTACCTTAACTTTATTTTATAATATAAAATTTTGAACAAGGAAATGTCCTATGGAGACGGGGATGTACTTTGCAATTGCTCTCAAACTTTGTTCAATTTCCTCTTTAGGGTTTGCTAAAGCCGGGACCGTCACATGATGTATAACTATCATCATATTAATGAAGGTGTGTATTGTTTGTCGTTCACAACTTAAATAGTTACTAGCTACTGACATTACATTATTAGTATCTTTTTTTTTTTTTTCCCTTCGTCTGCGAGCCTTTGTACCCTTCTCAATTTTTTTTTTTTTTTTTTTTTTTTTTTTTTTTTTTTTTGTAATAATTTATTAATATCATATTATGTTTGTAATGTGAAAAACTGCGCGGGTGAAGAAATAACGAAGGTGAAGAAAAACGCGAGTGAAGAAAATAACACAGATGAAAAAAACGCGGGTGAAGAAAAACGCGGATGAAGAAAAAACGCGGGTGAAGAAAAAACGCGGGTGAAGAAAGAAAAGCGTGAATGAAGAAAAGCATAGATAAAGTGAATAGAAACACAGATGAAGGAAAAGGAATGCAGATAGGAATGTAGGTGAAGAAAAACACAGGTAAAGAAAAGAAAAGAAGAAAAAACGCGGGCGAGGAAAAAACGCGAGTGAAGAAAATATATCATGAGAGACAATAGTATTATGTGACGTCACGTTGAATTATGCTAGGGCACATATCATGTGACGGTCCAGGCTTTAGCAAACCCCCCTCTTTAGGATCAACTTCTATAACAAGAATAATATGACCTAAAGAGGTATTCTTACTTATATGTTCGCAGTTGTACATGATAAATAATTGGAGCTCAAACTCAGTATTAGCTACTGGCCTTTTCGGCCAGTAATACTGGACTACTTTTTATATTTCAAGGAGGCGGTAGGTTGGGACGCGTTTTTTTTTTTTTTTTTTTTTTTTTTCCCAGGGGAAGAAGGCTGTGCACATTACAGAGGATAGATGATTCCTGGGTTTGAATGGTTTTCATAGATTTGCGCCTTCTCACGACTAGATTTAGCCATTTCTCGTGAAACCAATCTGTTTTCAGAAGGACCCGGTCAGGAAGTCCTACTACCCTCCCTTCCGCAATGTTTGCTGCCCGAATATTATAACGGGAATTTCCGGACAGGATGTTCTGGAAAAGGAGCTGCATTGACCATGTGACATTCTGCCTCGTGTAACTCAATGTTATAAAGTAATTGTTAAGTTTTTTTTATTGTCATTCATTCTCATATTTTTTGTTTTCGAAATAATGAAGGCAACATCCAATGACCTGAAAGATTTACCAACAGAGTGCATTGTTGAAATTTGCAAACACCTCAACCTTTCTTCCCTCTACTCCTTTCGAGCAACTGCACGGTCTATCGCTCACATAATCCTCACGTTTGAGGACACCCTTGCTGAACATTTTATCTTACGAGATATATTTGCGTTTGTACATGCCAAAGACACGTTAACCAAAGACTCTCTCGCAAGCACACCTCTTAAAACACCCTTTCAATCCATGAACTTTGCACTTTACTCTTCGCTGATAAAACGACAACACATCGCCCTTGGCCTTCTGAACCTTCTCCTTTCAGAGATGAACATCGATCGACCACGCTCCCCGCACGCAAATCTCGTCCGCATTTACACTCTCTGGAGTCTCTTGAATACATGGCAAAGTCGTTCCTCCGCCTTATCAAAGCTTACGCTTGTGCACTGCGTTGCAATTCAGTCCGAGATCTTGGCGTCAGCATCAAATTTGGAACTCGACGCGTTGGCCGCGACAGTCGGTGCAATAGCCGGAATAATCTGCCGACGGCTGCGACTAGACTACTCTCGGATTGCTGAGTACAGTTCCCGGCGCGGTTGGGCCATCCTCGGTCTACCTCTAGAAGAGCTCGCATTCTTTTTGATTGCAGACGGCTTTCAAGCTCTTCACGACTTCCTGTTCAGTGAGCATTATAAAATTGATTGGGATCGTGCGACACAGGTTGTTCGAGAAGGTGGGCTACATTGGTTTTTTGTTCTTCCGGCATTGGATGTCTTGGAGCAACGTGGGCACCTAGACCGACAGAGCAAAACCGAGAGGTTTATGTCAGTGACGGCCTTCATTGAACAGAATGCAGAGAGGAGAATATGAACCTCAGATATTTGGCGTTACTCGACCAATTTGAATCTCTATTAATGTATCTAAAATATTATCATACTACTGATAGAGCTATAGCTATCATACAGACATACAGACCCACTGATCAGTATCCCTTATTACGGTTAAGTTCACAGGCAAACTTGCCTGCGAGAATTTTATAAGATGTTTTAAATAAATAAATAAAATAAAATAAAAATAAAATATATGTTGCTTTTTTCATTTTCATTTTTAAGGAAGAGTATACAAATTGAAAATTTTAAGCCACCATTTTAATTAGAAGTTCGACTGGACAAAAAAATATATTAGAAAGAGAGGGTAATTGGACATACTGATCCGTGTCATGACAGTGGATCGAAGATTGTAGAGTTTGAATATAGCGGCAGTAAGTTCCACAGGACACAACCCAAAAAGAGCATCCCAGTAACCAACTGGCAAGATCGATCAGGGCTGGTCACGTGAATGTGCAACGTGTGTTTTCATAAATCATATGGTCATATGGTCACAATAAACTTTTGGGAAACTTGTTTAATCAGGTTTGCTCTGTTTATCTTCTCTTTCTCTCGCTATATAATTATATACTCCTGGGACTTGCAAAAAAAAGAAAGAGAGAGAGCAATGAATTAGTCAGATTGATGATCTGGGTTTACAATAACTGCCCTCCTTTTTTTTTACGTTCTTGCATTTCAGGTTGAAAGAGAGGGTAAAAATATACACTAAGAATTATATAGTTATCAGGGGTGAACACAAGAATTGATGACATAAAACAACCTGTTTCTTAGTCTGAATTATGAATGGAAAGGGTTATTCCGAGAGTCTTGTACCTTAGTAATAATGAACAATTACGGAGGTCGTGGCCTCGAAGCCAATCTTTCCCCAGTCTTTGGTTTCAATTACATATATATAATGATGTGCTCAGTATTATAAAATTTTGATTTCGACTTTCTAGGGAGAATGGCTAGTTTTCGTCATCCACTCATTTTACAAACTCTCCCAATCGAATGTACTCTCGAGATATGCTGCCATCTTGACCTACGATCTCTTCTTTCTATCCGTGTCACATCTCGCTCGCTGCATCAAATCATTACATTATTCCAAGACACGCTCGCGACGCACTTTATACAACGTGATATCATCAATCCTACGCAAGCACGACGGATCTTCCCCGAAAGCTCACAATATCCTTTGGTCACAATGAAAAGCTTGTGTACATACGCAACACTTATGCATCACCAACGAATTGCCATTGATATTTTGCAACTCTTACTAGGCGACATGGGCGTACCGCAACCACGTGCGGTGGAACACAATCTAGCGAGGATTTACACGTTGTGGGAGGTGCTACAAGCATGGCGCAAACATATGGTCGAAGGCCGGAAGGACCCGTTCACGTACGAGGAGTCTACGGCGATACAGATTCAAATCCTGCGCGAACTTCAGGACGGGGAGCTGAGCGCGTTGGTGTCGACAGTAGGGGCTCTTACCGGAGCGCTATGCGGACGCTGCGCGGCTTCGGGGCGTCGAGATGATACCGCATGGGGAATGGCGTTTCGAGGGATGCTCCTGGAGGATCGGGTGTCGTTTATCATTTCAGAGGGGCTGGAAACCGTCTATAATGTACTATTCGGAGATGATTTGAGGCAGAAAACAGTGGTAGACAATGCAAGGGGGAGGAGGGCAACAAGAAGTGAAGGTACGAGGTGGTTTTTGTTTAGGGCCGCCTTGGAGGTAATGGGAGAGAGAGGTTTAATAAGTCGATGGGAAAAAGCCTTACAGTTTGCGTCTGTGAGTGAATACATTCGAAGGAGAAGTGAGGGTCGGTAAAAAAGCAAGACACGAGTGCCTTCTTTTCTTTTTTAAGAGTACTATTTCTCGCCAAAATTTTGATATGCAAGTTTCATTCATTTCATGTATGCACTTGGGAGCAAAATTATGTACTTGGATTCTGTTCGTTTAGTATGAACATAATGCAAAAAAAAAAAAAAAAAAAAAAAAGCTTTGGCTCATTATAAATAGAAAATTCGTCGGCCAGATCATGATATTGATCCACAAGAATTTAGAGGTCCCTTTTAATGTGACAAAGTCAAACAAAGATCCAATACTCCACTCTAATATGCTCTTTGTCCCATTAAGAAAATTCAATTTAGTATATTCGGTATATGTCAAGCCTCTATGGCCTAATGGACATGGCGTTATTCCTGAGGCAAAGGTTCTAGGTTCGAGTCCTAGTGGGGGCGCGATGGTTTTGCCTCTTTTTTTTCCTTGCTAAGGGTTCCGTTTGCTCTTAAAGTGTCTAAAATAATTTGTTTACTGACCCTTTCATTCATGGAATAATTACACATTCACGAAACAATTACACATTCATAAAAATCAACTTAGCAGATCAATAACATCCGAGTCATCCGTGCCAGTGATGTTGATCTGGTGATGTTGATCAGATTGACGGGGAAGGCAAAGGTAAATCCCATAGGCAGCAACTCGTGGCGGTGGACTAGGTTGCTGCGGTTATTGCGACTCCCCTTATTCGCCTCCCAATGTAGATCTGAGGGTGACAAAGAAAGGCTTTGGTATGCTACTGTAACCCTGCCGTATTGTTACATATCGGAGAGGTGTAACTTGAACACTGTTATACTTTGTTAGTTTTAAAAATGAGCTAGTTGTACAATTCAAAATGTTGTCACAAATAATACAATAGGCTTCGTGAAACAGTTACGAATAACGTACTTTTGTTCTTCACACGCACTTTTGAAACTCATCCGTAGGCAGATGCAGATTTGGGTGTATATTGCTCTGGCAGTTACTTTTTCAAAATAATAGAGATATTTAACTAGAGTGCCACACTTTGGCGCCGCCGATTCATGAAGAAACAAAGGCTCTCCAGTGAATCACGGAGTAACATCAGCCTCCTAATGTCTGGAATACCCATCACCTAAGTTGTCAGAGCAAATTGAATTCAGATACAGTATCAAGGAGGATTATTGTCGTCTTTTGCCGTGGTGCAATTTTTATTATTGACTAGTATAAGTTAGATATTTATGAATGTATAAATATTCCATGAAGTCAATAATATCGGATCAAAAACGTTGATCAAAATGTGGAACAACGATCATCAAGCCAACGAGTCGCATGATTTTGAAGATAATTCTGACCAGAGGTTATACGCCAAAACTGACGCGGAGATCCACGCTGATATCAATGTGAAAGTTACACATGCTGTGGCCTACGAAAATCTCAATAACCTGAGTCACGCCCCTACGGCGGCGAGCGATACGGAGTCATCGCCCGATGCAAAAAGTGTGCTCGACCGAGTGGATAAAGATGTGCAATCCGCGCCGGAAGAAGAATCGAACCCAAGCCGCGCTCCAAAAGGAAAAACGGACGTCGACGACTACTCATCAATTAACCAGCAACCATACGACCACGTCAGAGCCTCCCACGAACTATCAATTATTAAGGACGTTCTGCGCGCGGCCGCTGCACACTGGGGCGGCAGATTATCGCCAGACATGGACGTACGCATGACCGAGTACGCTTCTCAGATTGTAGGGGACCTCGCGTTTAATTCCTTCATCACAAACATGATCAGGGAGAGGGAGCAGCTAGCTCCGGGACGCAAGGGGGTTATACAGATCCTACGCCAGGTTGCTAGCATCTCAGCTGAGGTAAACCGGGTCCTCGGCGACAGCCTGCGCGACTTGACAACCGACGATGTAGCCATTGACTATATTCGGGCGAGGCTAGCACGCTATCCGGGCAATCTTCCTGGCATTGTCAAGGCTGAGACTCGAGGCGAGTGGAAGGCGCGCCAGATATTGAGCATAACTGACAAGTATTTGGCAAAGAGAAACCCCATGTACGCGCAGTGGCTGATAGCTCTTGTGTGCAACAATCGCGGCATCAATGGGATTCTTGAAGTGCCGGCGCCAGCTGGTATCTCTCCCGCGGAAACCAATACAGCGTATCTAATTCGTCTGGTATTGAAGGCAGCTAGGGATTACGCGTCCCTGATGAGTGAAGAGATCAATGCTGTGATCCACCGTTCAATTCACGATCGAGAAGAAGTTAACGCCATCCTGAGAATGGTCAACCCGGCAAGCAATTTATATCAGCAAACTATCCCCTCACATAAATCGCCGTCAGACGACCTGATCCAACCGTCAAGTCACGGCCCTGACCCATCCTTTCACTCGTCGCAGCAATCGACAACCTCCACTTTCACTAGGGAATCGTCGCCATCCGGCTCAACAACCACCGTGCGATCGTCGTCACCCATCTCAACGCAGCCGCAAAACATGTTCTCTGATACCGCTGATCCAGACAGCGCATACCAGAGACATGTGAATATCCAGGCATCGTGGGAGATTGGTGAAGAGACTCAGGCAGAGTCCTTTGGAGACTTGTCTTCGCATCTTGCATGGTTCCCACAGGCGCGGACATCGCGGCTCCAGATCCTCCCGCCAGTCGAGGACTACCTCCACCCAGTTCGGCGGCAGACACGCTGGATGTTCTCTGATGCGACTCAGGACACACTCTTCACCTGGTGGCTGCAGCACGCGGGGGCTACGCCCTCGACGTTTGAGATGGAGGAGCTCACCCAACGGACAGGCCTGATCGCCGAGCGACTGAAGTGGTGGTTCACCCAGGCCCGGAAGATAGAGTCAGACACACTACACGAATTTCTGTACTTGCGGTCAGTCGAGCCGGAGAGAGCCTTGGACTGGAAATCACTCGGGAAACGTCGAGCCGAGATTAATCAGGAGAGAAACGAAATGTTGCGCCAGATGGATGACCTTTAGTATCTTATTTGTGAAAATCTTAAGTTTGGTAGCGTTTGGGAGACTTTGCACACTATTACAATGGGGGTAATGAGATAGGACATAAAAAATTGGACCAGACTGGGTAATAAATCGTTTCTCAACTACGGTTATACTTTATTGACCCGAGTATTATTAGTATTAATTAATGTAGTTAAAGAAATAACCTGCCGATGTTGCACGTGGTGGTCTTCGTGACTGCCTTAGAGCCTTAGAGCCTTAGATACCACGGCGACATAGCGACATAATACCAAGTTCTGCCAAACTTCGCCATGAATCCTACCCCAACTCTTTCTACCATTATCGGCACAACCCGAATCCGCACGCAGGAATGGCGCATCTTCAACTTTGGCAAGGCCCGTCAGTTGTACACGCATGACATGCCTTTCCTGCGCAAAATCTTTTGGTTTCCTTCCAGTGGCGACGGTGGCCCGCCATTGTCATGGTACTTGATTCTATACCCGTCGGGTAAAGACCAAACTTTTGACTGCGTGGCGGCGTCGTTCGGCGCCGAGCCGACAGCCGTGGAGCGCGAGCAGCTCAGCTGGCAGCGCGAGCCTATTGACTACGGCATTGAAGCGTACTCTATCGCGAGCTTCAACGACGGGGCGGAGAATCCGGCGATAGCAGTGCAGCAGGAGCCCGTGTTCATGGATCGGACGACGGGAATGGGAAAGATATTCTCCTCGGTGAGTCACGAGATCACGACCGTGCGGTTCCTGAGCTATACCAAAACTCCTAAATGGGATGCAAAGAAGAGCAAGGACTCGTACGATCTGCTCATTAAACTGCACTTTGTGGTGTCCGGGTTCCACAATGAAACCTTAGGGCCGCCCATCAAGCCAAAGATCAATATCATAACCGATTTTACCAAGCCTACCGACCCACTCTCCGCCTTTATCTACCATCTCAACGCAGACCCCAGCGCCGACGTCACCTTTACCTTCTCTATCCAACACCCTGCCCAACCCCCCCCAACGCTCCGCTCACACCGCATCCTCCTTGCCTCACGTTCCGTCTACTTTGCCACCATGCTTTCCGTGTCACCACCCATGTGCGATGTCTACATTCCCGACGCGATGCATACACACTTCGCCGTGCTGCTGTACCATCTGTACTCGGGCAGCTTGCCGGCGACGCGGCTCCCCGCGCGCACGCTGCGGGACGTGTATCGCGCAGCACATATGTACTACCTTAGCGAGCTGATGAGCGCGATAGAGGAAGCGTTTTGGCGTAGGCTGGGTGGAGGTGATGAGGCAATATCGTTGAGGGAATGGCAAGAATACCTGGCGTTTGCGATCGAGAATGCACTTGAAAGGTTGAGAAGGGCGGTCGTATGCTGGATAGTCGATCAATGGGAGCCTGTGAAAGGGTCAAGGGGGATGGAGGAGTTTGGAAAGAGGTGGGAGAGGTGGAGTGAGATCGAAGAGGGAGAGTGGGATGAGGAAGCAGTGGTGCACCCGGAAGATACAAGCATTCGAACTAGTGGAGTCGCCCTTTCTCCCCAGCGTAGCAGCGACGTTCTACAGGACGGCCTTTCCTCAGGCAGCAACGCCAACGACACCATCGCCACAGAATCTCCCTCCTCCCTACAAGCCAACTCTGAGACTTTACGACACGAGCATTCATCCAACCTCAACCTTAGTGGCGCCACTCTCCACAGTCCTTGCACTCACCCTTCTCAGACACCTCAATCCATATTTATCGGCCCCACCGCGGAGGTGGACGACGCAATGGCGGTGCTATCGCAGGATATTGAGTGGCTGAGAGATGTATTCATGCGGTTAAACGGGCGCGTTACACCTAAAGGATGGACGTGTGAATGCTGTGGGAGGGTGCTAAAGCAGGTATAACTGGGTGAGCCGCACACGGGTTGTGTTTTGGAATGGATTAGATGGTATGCTGTAGTTTTTGGTTTGCCGTTTTCGGCCATTTTGTCTATGAATTTCCGTAAAGGGTTTGAATAAATAAATAAAATAGTTACTTTCGATCCACGTGGAATGTGGCTTGTTTCCAATATAATGAACGACGACTACAACGCAAGCCCTACGAACTCAGGATCCGCGTTGAAAAAGAAATGGAAGGCCGCCCCCATATCCCTAGCCGATCTGGTCAACGACCAGCTCGAAGTATGTGGTTTGGGCAAAACCCTTTGGATCAAGACGAGTGAAAGATCTAACAATTGGAATCTTATTCTTTTCGATCCGACAGAAACTCGACAGTATCTCTTCTCCATCCATTCTTCGCTCCTCTACCTCCACCTCTGCCTCTCGATCACCCCCAGGTGCTCCACGCGTCCCAAAATCTGACGTCGGCCACTCCAAGCAACGTCCTCTTGCCCCCCTTACGTCGCGTTCGCAAACAACTGGCAGGCCTGCTGACGTGCCGCACGGTGCACTACTTACAAAAAACCCAGACAAACT